TTGGTATCTGTTGCATGATGGAAAATTCTTGACGATAGAATAGTATTTTAATGTCATAGCATTGCACGAATATTTAACACACGCACAAACAGATAAAAGAAAAACACCAGGAGAAGAAACCATATTTTTTTTGTCGAAAAATCCTGAAAGAGAAAAAAATCAATCATAAGGTATAGCTCAAACAAAATAATTAACTATGTGACTGTAAGCACGTATGCCACTCTTATCTTGAAGTATAAAGTTGATTATAACAAATATATAATAAAATTTTAGTTATAATATTCATAATTCAGCTTCAACAAATATTATTTAAATAATATATTTTTAGTTGTAAGAAAAAACATTAGTAATTTTTTTTTTCAAATATTGCTCTTGCATGAATGACACGTATAATTTCTTTTTAAACTATTAATCTTCTTCCTATTTCTACTTCTTTATCACGTGACGTTTCATAAGAGATCAGGAAATATCCCTACTCTTATCTATCTGAACAGCTATTTCCCAGCCCTTATCACAAAAGTCAACATCAATTTGATTCGGTCTCCTTTGGCATTAAATGGTGAAAAAAAGACAACTACCCTCCATAACAAAGGAAAAGCAAAGCAACAATAAGAACTTGTATTAATTATCAACAAAGTTTAGAACCCCATGTGACCAAAGAGGACGAAGGGATGGAGCAAGATAATAAAAAATAATTTGAGATTGAGCTCACAAGCTTCAAATATGGAACATAGCACATGCACATCTAACAAAAAAACAACAATAATAAGTGATGCGGTTGTCACGACCACTTGGCTAGCTCGAGTGGCCCCGCTACAAAATTTTTAAATCCCTATGTAATTCCATGATTTTTTAACACATCAAGTTTCTTGTATTCATAAAACTGATATATTTAAATAGATATATTGCATGACAAATGGTGTTTTATAAGAGAAGTATGAGGGTAGAGTAAAAGAACATTTTTGATCTCATTAATCATTGACTTGTCGTGTCAGGTGTGGGCCACGAAGGAATTTACGAGTTTCAAAATTGATTTTTAATATCGTTTAAAAAATTAATTCAAAAGAGCGAAAAGAGTTCCCAACGATGTGAGTTGAATACCAAGTTTATTATCTTATCATGATAACTCCAACCTTTAAAAAACACTTAAATTTGAGCATGTGTGAAAAGTGAAGAGAAACATCTTCATTGATTTTGATGTAGTTATGTCAACAATTTGATTACACATAATTAGGATCCTTAGTTAGGACTTTTTCCATGATAGTGGAGCATATTTTTATAGTTTGACATTACTTTTGTCTTGCATTAACTAAGCACTTTTTATTTGCTTTAGTTGTGTATCTGATTCATGTGGATTCCTCTATGAACGAGATGTCTCCTTGATTATTGGGTAGATCATGATTATGTACATCCAATATGACTAGACTTAATAATTACACTTTGAAGCAACAACTTATATTCAATATTGGAAACATCAATTTTTTATGGTCACGGTTGGCATTATTTCCATTTTTAACACTCGAAAATAGAAATTTTGTGATGCTCTTATAGTTTTGAAGGAATATATATATATATATATATATA